TCATCTCACCTTGGTGAACATGAGAGAACACACACTGGAGAGAAACCACATCAATGTGATCTGTGTGGCAAAGCCTATACTTATTCATCCAGCCTCAACAAGCATAAGAGAATACATACAGGGATGAAGCCATATGAATGTCACCTCTGTGGGAAAGCCTTCAGTCTCTTATATCAACTTAATAATCATAAGAGAACACACACAGGAGAAAAACCATATAAATGCCATCTATGTGGGAAAGCATTCACTCATTCATCTTATCTGAGGACACATAACAGAACACATACAAAAGAAAAACCACACAACTGTGATCTATGTGGCAAAGCCTACACTCATTTATCTAGCCTCAACAAGCATAAGAAAGCACATACGGGAGTGAAACCATATGAATGTCATCTTTGTGGGAAAGCATTCACTCTCTTATATTCACTTAATTATCATAAGAGAATACATACAGGAGAAAAACCATATAAATGTAATGTATGTGGGAAAGCCTTCAATCATTCATCTAACCTGAATAAGCATAAGAGAACGCATGCAAAAGAGAAATTATTTGAATGCCACCTGTGTGGAAAAACCTTCAGACATTCATCTAGTTTCAGCAACCATAAGAGAACACATGCAGGAGAGAAACCATATAAATGTCATCTGTGTGGGAAAGCCTTCACTCTCTTAAAGTATCTTAGCATTCATAAGAGAATACATACAGGAGAGAAACCATATGAATGTCATCTCTGTAAGAAAGCCTTCACCCAATCAGCTACCCTTCAGCAACACAAGAGAACACATACTGGAGAGAAACCTTATAAATGTCATTGGTGTGGGAAAGCCTTTACTCATTCATCTACTTTTTCAAAGCATAAGAGAACTCACTCAGGAAGAAAACCACATGTATGTCATCTATGTGGAAAAGCCTTCACTCATTCAGATGCCCTACATCAGCATAAGCGAACACATGGTGGAACAAAACCATATGAATGTCCTGTGTTTAAGAAGTCTTTCTCTACATCATCTAATCTTAATTCACATAAAGAGAGACACACAGAAGAAAAGCTGTATTAAGGTCCTGCATGTGGAAAAGCATTCACTGAATTATCTAGCTTTCATAAGGATGAGAAAACACACACCAGCAATGCCATATAAATGTCATCTCTGTGAGACAGACCTCACTGTTATTTAGCATTGCTCAATGTGACAGAATATACAAAGAAGAGAAATCATGTTCTGAATTTTCTTGTTTTAAAACATAGTCTCATACAGTTCATGCTGACATTGAACACACTATGTAGCTGAGACTAACTCCAAACTCATGACAATTCTACTGCCTCAGACTTCTGAGTTCTGAGATTGTAGGCATAAGTCACCCTGCCCATCAATGATTGGCATTTATGTGTTAAAGCCTGCACTCACTCAACTAACTAAAAACATGAGCAAAGGTACACAAAGTAATATCTATGAATGTTATCTCCATGGGAATGCCTTCATTTAGTTTGCTAACTTCATTGATCATGACAGAATACATGCTGTACAAAACTACATGAATGTCATCTGTGAAGAAGATTGTTCAATCATTAATCTAGTCTCAGTTGTGAGGAAAATCTTACTCAAGAAAGAAACTGAATAAATGTCATCTAAATGAAAAAGCAATCAAGCAATATTCTTGAGACTGAATGAAAAAAACACAATATAGATAAACCATAAGAATGATTC